ATATGTTACTTAGCTCAACCTCATGCTTGATTCGTCATTCGGGTCATCTTTTTAATAATTCCATTTTGGTCCTCGCAGTTTCATATTCTTCCATTTTGGCCCTTTTTCGTTCATTTTCTCATACTTTTCATTCCATCCATCAATGTAATCCTATAAACACAAATTATATCGAATTAAGTCATATTTCAACATATACATCAACAATCTTCCATGTTTTGTGACCTAAATAAGTGTGTAAAACACACTTATCTATTACTTTAGCTTACCGACTATACTACCTATCAGAACTATTGGCGTATCAATTGAGGAGCCGGATCATGTGGGTCCCTCTTCAGGTTGATTTGGTTGCATTTATATAATTTATTCTACACACATGACACAACTCACACAACTAGGAAATAACACTCTCCGAGTCGTCCAAGACTCACAAAGTGTCAAATATGACTAGTGCTCGTACGGTAATTGACTTCTCAATTAGATGACCGTATTAATACAACTGTCATATACCATTAGTATATGTACGGTAACTGACATCTCTGCTCAATCAACGTAGCAAAAAAAAAAAACTTAGGATAAAGTACTCAGTATTATCATTGAACATGCAATGTGATACTTAAAAACACATTTATTAAGCATTTGGTATATTCCTAAATTACCCTTCTAATTAGTATTAGAGATTGTACAGTTATTGACCTCTTCACCACTGTTCTAATCAGACCAATTTCAGCTATTGATCGCATTCACTTGCTTGATAAAACCATGCAGGCAATTTCAATATGACTTGTCGTTTGATGGCATATTGTAACATTTTCCACGATTGATCATATATAGGATTGGCAAACAAGGAAGCAGTGACCATTCAACCAAGAAAAGATCAGGCTGTACTGCTAGCAACAACAAAGACCAAGAAACAGAACAAGCCTGCTAGTTTGCTCAACAAATCTGTCATGAAAGGGTTTTCCCGTATGTCCAAGGCTGTTTCAAGCCAGGTAACTAATCTTCTATATGGTATTATTTTGTTGATGAGTTTATTTGACTTCCTTATTTGCTACTATGTTCTAGTTTATCAACTAGTTTAATTCTTGGTCATTATAAACACAAAAGTCCGTATTTTATGGATGAAGTTTCGTTTTCTATATGGAAGCACTGAACGATAAAGGAGTTTTTCCTGTTCGACTTTCAGTTGAGAATAGTCTTGTTATCTGGTTATATGAAACAGAAATGTCATTTTCGCTAAGTTGGAATCAAATTCCGGAGATGAACGTGCTTCCTGGCCTTGTTTTGATTTTTGAATGTAGCAAGCTATGTTATATTATTGTAGATTATTAGACTAGTTTCTGTTATTCATTTTTGGTGGGGAAGACGAATCATGTTTCTGTTGTTGCATTCTAGTAATTGTACTTCTGTTGAGTGCAGGTGGCCGATAATTATTACAGTCCACAGATCTGATGAAGAAGGCAGACCTTGCAAGATTGAGTGTTGTGAACAGGAGCATTAGGGTTGCCAAGTCTGGTGTCAAGAAGAGGAATATAACATTCTTCGACCAAAAAATTGGCAAAACGAGTTTGAAAGCAATATATGTTTTTATTGTAGTCCAAGAATAGCAATATAACAGGCTCAAAAAAGAGTAGCATATTACATTCTTCAAACAAAAGACTAGCAACTCGAGATAGTGAGCATACATTTCTGTGAGTTCGATGCGATCATGTCCAATTTGATGTACCAAGATGCCATCAAAATTGAGCCAGAGGCCACATTTTTTACAATCTAAGAATGCCAGATTACTCTTCTACTGAAAACCTGGCAAACCAAGATCTGTCATATGCAAGCATATATTACACCATGGACAGAGCTTCGTCAAAATGATATATAACACAAGAAGCACCACCATTTTATCCATACAGATGAAAGTCAAAGTTCGCACAGATTTTCTTCAACTCCAGACTGAATATCAGAGTCGGTTTCCCTTATGACTCGTACAGACAGTGTATCTCCCACCTTATGCGTGCTTTTTCATTGGGCTGAGAATCTTTTCATCGCCTGATATACTCCTCAAGAGTTGCTTAGAACACATCTCCGCTGCCTGAGTCGCATTTTTCACTCGTGCAGCTCTTACCCAAGCAGGCTCCTATTTTGTCAAAAATAAAAGAAGAAAAATAAAGCATACAGTTCATCTCCCCCTAGTTGGCACAGTTGACAATTTTTTATCAATAGTAAATAACATAAAAAGAATTTCAGCATATCATACCTCGGGGACAATTCGAGAGAATCCAAATTTAATGAACAAAAGCACGTGTTCCATTATGAGAATGGCTCCAAGACCAGGTGATATTTTCCATTTTCCGTCCTGATCATACAAGCACACTAGGAGGATGGAATTCGTGCAAATTGACATCACTATCAGGAACTGAAATAGAAGACACGGGACAGATTTACAAAAAAGGGGAGGATAAAAGTAAAGAGAGTAAAACTGATTAATGTTGGTGTGGTCCAGGCATAGAGAATTTATTGTAGACTAAATTTATATGAATATATGTGTTCCCTTTCTAACAATTAATCTTTTAAATGAGGTGATTCAATGTTATGTGGCCCTCTGTTCTCATCTCTCCACTCATTTATAAAGATTGTATATGTGCCAGATCATTGATAAAAAAAAAAAAAAGAATTCGATTTGCATGCAAGGGGCCGTGTTGAAATCTAAATTTAAATAAATAAATATGGTCCTCTTTAATGTCTTGAGCTTTTAGATTATCCCTCTTTTAAAAGCTTGTAGAAGAAGTGATTTAACAATTACTACCTGAAATATATTTAGCCAAGCTCCAATGGTCGCATCAGCACGGGGCGTAGGCCGTCTCATCATGGCTAGTAGTTTTAGCGCATCTGTTCTCATCTCAGTCAGGTTATTCTGCTCAAGTCAAGCATGCAGGCCGTTATTAGTTTGATAAAAAGAAAGAGAACTCCCGTCTCCCACTTTGTTTTAAGGAAAGAACGAAAAAATCCACCATACCAGTATGGCAAAGGCAAAGGCGAGTGGGAA